TTTTTTTTTTTAATTATTTTTAAAAATTTTCCTTCTTTTTAGAAAATTCTAAATTTTGATTAAAAAACCTTTTTTCTATTTGTATCAGCGGAACTAGTAAATAACATAGACAATTTTAGCACGTTTTTTTGGTATGACACACATTAATTTGAAAAAATTGTGCAAAAATAGAAATAATTATCGGATGTTAATGAAACTTTCAGGAACTATTCACAGATGATTGAAATTATTATAAATATGTTTTTTTTATGAAAGTCATGGTAGAAATATTTTTTAAAAATATTTATTACCCCCCATAACTAATTTTATGAAAACGCTAGAAATTATGCATCGGTTTTAGTGATTACAATAATTAAAAGCACAGGGCTTTGAGGAATGCAAATCATGTTTTTTTTTGTTTTTAATTGGATACGCAGTACCTGAAAATCAGCTCTGAATTGTAACATACAAAACTCAATAAAACAAATATATTATTTAATTTCAAATGCTTTTATTTGCTTTTAGTTGTTTTATGAATATGGACAATATTTTCTGAAAGCAAAAAAAATTTTTTCGATGAAAAATGAATTTTAATACAATTATTTGTTATTTCATTAATTATAATAGATTTTAATTTAAGTTGTTAAAATATTATAAAATTAGTTAAAAGTCAAGATCGGCTTTCATAAGTGTCCTTATGAGATAGATCTTTTTTTTTGCTGTTGTAAATTGTATCATTTGACTAATCCCCAGTAATTAAGAAATGTAATTTTGTGCTTATAATTGAGCTGTAATTATGAAGACCAACCAGAATATAATTAAGTTATTTGAGTTAAGCATTGTTCTCCGCTGTTAAGGCCTTTTACTTTTTTGTAAACACGTGAGGAGAAGTTAATTTGATTTTTCAATTTCAACTGAGAAGGGTACCTACAAGTATCAGTATCATCTTATAAAATTTATATGATCTTATTTTTATATTAATCTCAGTTACGACATTTTTTCCATAAATGAAATATCAAAATTAATAATAAAATGAATGCAAATACAAATAACAGTAGAATGTAATAAATGTACATAAAATTATAGTATTTTATGTACAATTTTGATAAAATTTCATAAGAAAGGTACCTATAAATTAATTAGATACCTTTCTTAAGAAATATGAAATTTAATGTCACTCTTAACAGTTTTATTTTAATTTTTTACAATATATTTCCCATAAAGCATCATAAACGTAAAGGTGAAAGCTAAGTACAAAAAAAAAAAAAAAAATTAGACCGCTGAAAGTTTTTTGTTAAAAATAACGGGTAAATAATTTGTTCACGTAAATGTAAATTATTTCACTTTTCTCCTTCCGTAGAACAAATTAGCCTCATGGAATTGTAAATATATCATTCATCACATGTCAAGAGACGCGAAAGTTTATGACCTGCTTTGTTTTATTTTCAAATTACATCTTTTTGGCACAAAAGCTAAGTTAAGTTTGGTTCAAAATATTTTAAATAAACATTATAATTTCTGATTTTCTTAAAATAAGTTTTGAAAAAATAATTGATATTTAAAAAATTTCAAAGTCAGATTTCCAGTTTTTTTTTTTTAAATGGAAAAAATGGTCAATTTTGCTGACTCAAAAAAAACTAGATTTTTAACGAAAATTTCGGACGTGCTAGGAACGATTAAAAATGGAAAAAATACCCCAAAAATACTTTGACCTTTCCTCTTAATAATAACAAACATTTAGACGATAAAATTTTGTTTTCATCAAGTTTGGCGTCTTTTTCATCATGCTATGCTCTTTTTTTAGCGATCTCGTGAGGTACCTATGTAAGTATGTGTGCATAAAAATCTGTGTATATATGTGTGTATTTAGGTTTATATGTATATGTGCATGCATGTGTACTTGTTATCATAGATATGTATATGTGCGTATATGTTTATGTTTATATATTTATTTGTATTTATTTCTGTATGTATATGTATGTATGAGTGTATGTTTATGTGTGTTAATTTGTGTTTGTATATATATATATATATATATATATATATGTGTGTGTATCTGTGGGTTTCTTTATCCTGTTTTTCTTTGCTTAATATATAATGAAACTATTATCAACTTATATGATTAATAATATATATATTTTTATTGATATTTATGGTTTTGGAATTTTTTTTTAATATATTAAATAATATTATTTTTAACCATTTTTATCTTTTGTATATTTGTTCCCTTAAGTTATAATTTAATAAGTGGTTAGCATTTATTTAAGTCTGAAATATTTAATGGTTGTGATATCTGATTGTCTATGTTATTGTCTGTGGATGTATGTATGTGTATCTATCGGTGTCTATGTGTATGTAGAGTGTATTCACATTTAACTGTGTGTGTGTATAAGTGTTAGTTTCCACGTCTCTTTTTTTTCATAAACAGCTGTAGAAATGTTCATGTCTCGCCCCCCTTTTTTTTTGTGTGTGTGTGTGTGTGTATATCTAATTATGTCTAGGTGCTTATGTATTATAATCTGATTGTGTTTTTGTTGTTTTTTGTGAGTTTAAGACCACATTCACATGCTTTAAAAAAAAAAAAGGAAAAGAAAGGGAAAAGAAAAAATATATATACATGTATTGTCAAATGACCGGATATATTGTACTTGTCTTGTCGAACGTAATTTCAATGAAGAAATGAATTGAATAAACATATATATTTTTTTTTTCTCAATAATTTTGTAGTTTTTAAACTTAATAGTGATTAAATTTGGATTTTAAAATTGCCAGTTTTTAATTTTAATATTAAATTTTATCATATAATTTTACAATTATCGGTTAGTATAAAATATTTTTAATATTACACGTATTTAAAGATCTGAATAGCTATTATAACATGATTGTGCTTTTTGAATCTTTCTATACTTCGTTTTTGATTGGTTATTCTAGCTTTTGTTTCCCTAGTGTAGGATTAATTAATCTGAAATTTTTTAAAACCATTTATTTTATTTTCAACATCATCCCTTGACAAGACACAGTGTGTTGAAACAAAATGGCTATTTTGTAGTGATT